CGTAACACACCAGCTTCTGTATCTGTATAGCCGGTATAACCGCCCTTCGGCGTAACACACCAGCTTCTGTACCTGTATAGCCGGTATAACCGCCCTTCAGTGTAACACACCAGCTTCTGTATCTGTATATCCGGTATAACCGCCCTTTGGCGTAACACACCAGCTTCTGTACCTGTATAGCCGGTTTAACCGCCCTTCGGCGTAACACACGTCCAGCTTCTGTACCTGTATAGCCGGTATAACCGCCCTTCGGCATAACACACCAGCTTCTGTATCTGTATAGCCGGTATAACTGCCCTTCAGTGTAACACACCAGCTTCTGTATCTGTATATCCGGTATAACTGCCCTTCTTTGTAACACACCAGCTTCTGTATCTGTATAGCCGGTATAACTGCTCTTCAGCGTAACACACCAGCTTCTGTATCTGTATAGCCGGTATAACCGCCCTTCGGCGTTACACACCAGCTTCGCAGGCACGCGGCGCGGTGGCAGCTAGCTATATCACACCGAACGACTTGTTACACTCAATCTTTGCACATTTAATTGCAGGAGTTGTTTAAAGCTTTCTAGTGATGATGCCCCAACTGTGCTTGGTGGCAACGAGTTCCAGTCTACAATAGTTTCTGAACTACGAGTTTCTGAACACCTCAATTCTTGGTTGATAACTCTGATATTTGAAGGCATGACTATTTCTTGTTCTTTTCTGGGCTGGTGTCAGATACTTAGTGGTTGGTACGTCCACCAGTTTATTAGTCATTTTGTACATCATTTTGTACATCAGTCTCAACATTCTACAGCTGTCTTCCAGAGACCCCCACTGTAGGTTTCTTTTCATTTCCGTTACACTAGCACCCTTTTCATAGTTGTTTGTGCAGAATCTTGCAGCTTGGTTCTGTACCCTTTCCAGTTTCGTCTTTCTTTGTATATGGAACCCATACTGTTGCGACATATTTAGGTTCGGTCTTACAAGCGACGTGTATGCAAGGTGTATGCAAGTGATTTTACCCTTGTTGGACATGACCACAGATTGCGCTTATCCATAATCACTCCCAATGTCTGTTTGGTCTTCGCAGTGATGTTGTTAACATGCGTGCCCCACTTCAGACTACATTTTGTACTTGTCAATGTAACACCGAGATACGGATGGGTTTTTGTTGTTGCCAAAGCTTGACCACAGAATAGGTAGCTAGTTATATTTGAGGTTTGTTTCTTTGTTATATGCATAATGTACATATTGTAGCATTTTTCTGGATTAAACTGCATGAGCAAATCATTTGCTTGTATTGTATATGTTGTCAGTATCACGTCAATATGACATACCTTACATCTTGTACCAGGAAAAAAACCTGCATGATGAAAAAGAAGCCAGCAGGTGTGCTGATGTTCCTCCTGGTCATCCTTAAGGTGTTGGGAACTGCAGAAGCTGACTGCAGCTGCACAGCTTCAGAATGTGACTGCCAGAGACAGGGCCTCACCAGTGTTCCTCAGGACCTGCCGACAAACATTACACGGCTGAATTTGGATTGGAATCAAATCACAACCATAAGTTAGTCTGATTTCTCACGTTATGGGAGCTTGGAGACTTTAGAACTTAGATGGAATCACATTTCTACTATCATCAGCCAGGCATTCTATCACCTGTCAAACTTGACCACATTATCGCTTTTAGGTAACAGTCTAACAATCCTCAGACCTGACATGTTTGTAGGGCTGGGGAACTTGGAGGTACTTAAACTGCAATATAATGACATCACTGATATTCAGGCTGGAACTTTCAATTCAACACCACAACTGAGAACCTTGTACCTGCATAACAACAAGTTAACACACCTTAGATATGACATGTTCACAGGGCTGGGGAACTTGCAGGAACTTCATCTGTACTATAATGACATCAGCTATATTCAGGCTGGAACTTTCAACTCAACACCACAACTGAGAGGCTTGTGGCTGTACAACAACAACATTCAAACCATTCCATCCAACTCGCTGACAAATCTGCTGCAACTGAGATACCTCAGTCTATCTGACAACAGCATCACAACATTTCCCTTTGATGAGTTGTCAAGACTTCAAAGACTTTATCAACTTGACCTTTACAATAACCAACTGACAACCCTTCCCTCTATTGCCTATGACGTTCTTTCCTCCATCTCACGTGTAGACATTGACAACAACCCCTGGCAGTGTGACTGTAGGATGGTTGACTTCAGATTGAAGATGACCGGGTCACGTCCTTTTGAAAACCAACTCAATTGTTCCCAACCTGAAAACTTTTATGGACAAAAATTGATAGATATCAATCCAACAGATCTGCTCTGCGAAGCACCGACCATTGCAAAGTTTCAAACAATTGTTAACATCCCCTTGGTGCAAGGAAGTATCAATTTATTCTGTGAAGCATCAGGAATCCCCACACCAGACATCACAGTTATTCTCCCATCTGGACTTAACGCTACTGTTGATTCAGTTGGAAGGGTGACTGTTGATGTGACCGGTAGCATTGTCATAAGAAATGCTTCAGCAGTGGATACTGGCCTGTACACCTGTGTTGCAGTAAATCCAGCTGGCTCTGCTATTGCCAGACTGTCCATTGATGTCATCTATAAAGAGCCAACAATTGTGAGGTTTGACAGTTTTTTAGAGGGAGAGACTCTCTTCTTGATCTGTGAAGCTTCCGGAATCCCCACACCTGACATCACAGTCATTCTCCCATCTGGACTGAATGCTACTTTAGATGTGAACAGTACCATCACCATCACCAATGTCACTGCAGCAGATGCTGGTTTATATGTCTGTATTGCAGACAGGCCTGTTGGTACTGCATTTGCCACCCTGTCTGTAGATCTGGCCTATGAAGAGCCAAGTATTCTTAGGTTTGAGAAAGTCAACATTGATCCATTGGTACAAGGAGAGACGTTTCGTTTGGTTTGTGAAGCGTCAGGAATCCCCACACCAGACATCACAGTCATTCTCCCATCTGGGCAACATGCTACTGTTGAGTCAGATGGGAGAGTGACTGTTCATATAAATGGTACTGTTATTATAACAGACGTTACTGCAGCAGATGTTGGTTTGTACGTCTGTATTGCAGCAAATGTTGTTGCCTCAAAATTTGCAACACTGTACGTTGACATTGAACACAAATCCACAACTGCAGTAATGCAGACACTCCACAAACCAGAAACCAGCAACTACCATGGACCTACCCCCAGTTTCTCCTTGCCTGTCCTCCTTGGTGCTATATGTGGTTCTATAGCCGGTACCCTGTTTATCGGTGGCATCATTCTTGCTATCTGGTGCAAAAGGAACAACAATTTTTCCAAACGCCCAGACTTCAGTGTTGTTTTTAACAACACCAACACCACAACTACAGTGATAACCAATGGGCAGGATCTGACAGGGCGAACTCAGCCCCAACCTATTGGTCTATCTTCGGATGCCAGCAACCCCCAGCTTATCCCACGGCCAGCTTCCTCACAGTTCCAGCCTTATGAAGACGTGCAGCCTCCTCCAAGAGGTGCAGTTCCAAGCCAATCCGCTAGTGGGCAGGCCCTCGGACCACCCAACAGGAACAGCAATGAACCTCCCCCAGTCCCCCCTCCCCGCACAGCCAGTGCCACTGGGTATGAGAATATCCCCGAGCACGCCTACCAACCTCTGGCAGTCACTAGGAATCAACCTGACAATGGTCAGGATGCTTCACATCACTACCAGTCACTCAGAAGGACATAAAGAGATTCTAAAAACCAATAGATTTAATTCCAACCCTAATAAGATTAAAAAAGGCCAATTAGACAAACAACCAGCCTGAATTTCAAACCACTCTCAGCTTGCACAGCCTTTATATATATACATAAAGAGATAAATGTAAGACAGTCACTCAGAAGAACATAAATTAGATTCTGAAAATTTTCAAAACTCCCACCCTTAATATAAAAAAGCCAATAAGACAAGACAAACAACCAGCCTGACTATGGACAAGATGCTTCACACCACTACCAGTCACTCAGAAGGACCTAAACAGATCCTGAAAATTGTCAAAACTCCCGCCCTTAATTAAGATAAAACAAGCCAATTAGACAAGACTAAAAATCCAGCCTGAATGTCACACAGTTATTTTCAAGAGTCAGTGATGCATGTGATAGTTACATACAAGTACAGTCAAAACACTCTTACTCTTATCTAATGTACAGGCTTATGATGATAGCAAGAGATAGGAATAGCCATCTAATGATAACCTAGTAATTTGTTGTAGAGTCATGATTGGATGAAAATAATATTGTAGTCAGAAGGATCTATTTCTAAACGCATTTTGTTGGTTTGTCATATTCATTGTTCAGAAGCTTATTGATTTGAAGGACTTTAAAAAATAGAATCTGATAAATTGTAAAAAGTCATGATTAATATTTTGTGTTTTGTTTTACTTTCTCATAGATCCAAAAGCTAAATATTTCTAAACATGATTAAAAGTTTTGTTACCTATTGTTTTGTATTTGGTGTTTATGAAGTCTTTGTATTGTCAGTGTTGTGTGTGTGTGTGTGACACTGTATGTGTGTGTGTGTGTGTGTGTGTGTGTGACACTGTATGTGTGTGTGTGTGTGTGTGTGTGTGTGTGTGTGTGTGTGTGTGTGTGTGTGTGTTTGTGTGTGTGTGTGTGTGTGTGTGTGTGTGTGTGTGTGTGTGTGTGTGTGTTTGTGCGTGTGTGTGTGTTCTGTATCTGTATCTGCATTGTATAGCCGGTATAACCGCCTTTCGGCATAACACACCAGCTGTGTGTGTGTGAATGTGTGTGTCACAGTGTACATGTTGTACATGACAACTTGTAATGCGGCCATATACCGCTATATGATTGTTTGTGTAACCTACTTATACTGTGCACATGATAGTGAGCACGTATGCTGATGAATATTTAACTGTCCTGGTCAATGTCCAGTCAAGAGTACTGTGTCATGCCATGTTCAAAGTTCAAGTCAGACTTTTCTAGTTACGACTGGTTGTGACTGGTTGTGACGCAGTTCTAAAATAGACGAACAACATTTAAGCTCAGCAGGTCCAAGTAGAGAAGACATCCCACAAGTCTGAAGTTCTGACTGTCTTCAAAGGAAACTTTTGACAAACTTGGAACTTCAAGGTACTTTTGGACTTTTTAGTAGGCATCATGTTGGTACATTATACTTAATACTGCCCTGTTGCTATTCACTGATCCCAAACAGAATGTCACAACTAACAATTACACTTTTCTTGTTACTTGCAGGGTTTGTGCAGATAATTGGGAAAGTCTTGGTTGTGACTGACAGCTGTCCCTGCATCATAATCTAGGTAAGTTTGGTCCCAGCAATCAACCTCGTACATCAACTAAGTAAACAATTGTTAAAGGCGGAATGAATAATCTTAACTTGTTAGTCTTGTAGCTTTTTCCATAGAATATCCAAAATTAAATAAAAAAGTATATAGATGCTAAAATGATTGTTTCAATTATCATTCAGGTTCCAGGTTTGACATCCCAAGTGTACAGTTGCAGCTGGGGAATAGCTTACAGGTGTCAATCTTCACAACATCAGTATTGAGGTGAGTTTGATCCTACAAGACAGTACACACGTCAAATGAAGAAGAAGTAGTGTTATATTCTTGCAAGATGTAAAATCAAACATGCACAGTATAGTTTATCTGTATCTGTATAGCCGGTATAACCGCCCTTTGGCGTAACACACCAGCTTCTGTATCTGTATAGCCGGTATAACCGCCCTTCGGCATAACACACGTCCAGCTTCTGTACCTGTATAGCCGGTATAACCGCCCTTCGGCGTAACACACCAGCTTCTGTATCTGTAGAGCCGGTATAACTGCCCTTCGGTGTAACACACCAGCTTTTGTATCTGTATATCCGGTATAACTGCCCTTCTTCGTAACACACCAGCTTCTGTATCTGTATAGCCGGTATAACTGCCCTTCAGCGTAACACACCAGCTTCTGTATCTGTATAGCCGGTATAACCGCCCTTCGGCGTAACACACCAGCTTCGCAGGCACGCGGCGCGGTGGCAGCTAGCTTATATCACACCGAAGGACTTGTTACACTCAATCTTTGCACATTTAATTGCAGGAGTTGTTTAAAGCTTTCTAGTGATGATGCCCCAACTGTGCTTGGTGGCAACGAGTTCCAGTCTACAATAGTTTCTGAACTACGAGTTTCTGAACACCTCAATTCTTGGTTGATAACTCTGATATTTGAAGGCATGACTGTTTCTTGTTCTTTTCTGGGCTGGTGTCAGATACTTAGTGGTTGGTACGTCCACCAGTTTATTAGTCATTTTGTACATCATTTTGTACATCAGTCTCAACATTCTACAGCTGTCTTCCAGAGACCCCCACTGTAGGTTTCTTTTCATTTCCGTTACACTAGCACCCTTTTCATAGTTGTTTGTGCAGAATCTTGCAGCTTGGTTCTGTACCCTTTCCAGTTTCGTCTTTCTTTGTATATGGAACCCATACTGTTGCGACATATTTAGGTTCGGTCTTACAAGCGACGTGTATGCAAGGTGTATGCAAGTGATTTTACCCTTGTTGGACATGACCACAGATTGCGCTTATCCATAATCACTCCCAATGTCTGTTTGGTCTTCGCAGTGATGTTGTTAACATGCGTGCCCCACTTCAGACTACATTTTGTACTTGTCAGTGTAACACCGAGATACGGATGGGTTTTTGTTGTTGCCAAAGCTTGGCCACAGAATAGGTAGCTAGTTATATTTGAGGTTTGTTTCTTTGTTATATGCATAATGTACATTTTGTAGCATTTTTCTGGATTAAACTGCATGAGCAAATCATTTGCTTGTATTGTATATGTTGTCAGTATCACGTCAATATGACATACCTTACATCTCGTACCAGGAAAAAACCTGCATGATGAAAAAGAAGCCAGCAGGTGTGCTGATGTTCCTCCTGGTCATCCTTAAGGTGTTGGGAACTGCAGAAGCCTGCAGATGCACAGCTTCAGGCTGTTTCTGCATTGGTCGGCGCCTCACCAGTGTTCCTCAGGACCTGCCGACAACCATCACAGAGCTGGAGTTGGGACATAATCAAATCACAATATTAAGTCAGTCTGATTTCTCACGTTATAGGAGCTTAGAGACTTTAGAGCTTAACAATCACATTTCTACTGTCAACGGCCAGGCATTCTATCACCTGTCAAACTTGACCACATTACGGCTTTCAGGTAACAGTCTAACAATCCTCAGACCTGACATGTTTGTAGGGCTGGGAAACTTGGAGGAACTTTGGCTGGACAATAATGACATCAGTGATATTCAGGCTGGAACTTTCAATCCAACACCACAGCTGAGATTGTTGTACTTGAAATATAACAAGTTAACAACCCTCAGATCTGACATGTTCACAGGGCTGGGGAACTTGGAGAGGCTTTCGCTAGAGAATAATGACATAAGTACTAGTGATATTCAGGCAGGAACTTTCAATACAACACCACAGCTGATATACTTGTACCTGTATGACAACAAGTTAACAATCCTCAGATCTGGCATGTTCACGGGGCTGGGAAACTTGCAGGGACTTTCTCTATACAGTAATGAGATCACTGATATTCAGGCTGGAACTTTTAATCCAACATCACAGCTGAGAATGTTGGACCTGTATAACAACACGTTAACACACCTCAGGTCTGACATGTTCACAGGGCTGGGAAACTTGGAGTACCTTCATCTGGGCTATAATGACATTACTGATATTCAGGCTGGAACTTTTGATCATACACCACAACTGAAAAAGTTGGCCCTGTATAACAACAAATTAATAACCCTTAGATCTGACATGTTCACAGGGCTGGGGAAACTTGGGGGGGCCTTTTTTCTGCGCAATAATGAGATCAGTGATATTCAGGCTGGAACTTTTAATCCAACACCACAACTGAGAAACTTGTACCTGTATAATAACAAGTTAACAACCCTCAGATCTGACATGTTCACAGGGCTGGGAAACTTGGAGAGGCTTCGGCTGTACAATAATAACATCAGTGATATTCAGGCTGGAACTTTCAATCCAACACCACAGTTGGAATGGCTGGCCCTGTTTAACAACAAGTTAACAAGCCTCAGAGCTGACATGTTCACAGGGCTGGGAAACTTGGAGTACCTTAATCTAAACAATAATGACATCACCGATATTCAGGCTGGAACTTTCAACTCAACACCACAACTGAGATACTTGTACCTGTACAACAACCAAATTCAAACCATTCCATCCAACTTACTGACAAATCTGATGCAACTGAGAGAACTTAGATTGTCAAACAACAACATCACAACGTTTCCCTTTGAAGATTTGGCAAGACT